GATATAGCTGGTTAATAATCAGCTATCAGTATCGGCTAAGAACATCTTTACCGGTGCATGTCTTGTTACTTTGCTAAAGAAAAATTCGAAGTCCAAGTGCAAACCAAGAATAAAATAATTTAAATCAAGGCTTCCTCAGGGTTCAGTGTCTTGGAGGTTCTCTTCTCCAGTAGGCCTTTTGGAGCAACGGCAGAATTTGTCTACAAAACATTTGAAGAAAATCTCAAATAAACTATCCTCCCTAGGAAATATTTTGAGGTATGGAGCTTTTAGAGAACATAGCTGTAAGTTCTGGGTTTGGAAATTCAGTTTCACAAAGCTAAATTGCAAAGCAGAACCATCTCCCCTTTCTAAATGTTAATGCAATATGGTGGCTGATTTTGTTGAATATTTTACAGTCATGGTAAACTGTAATCCTGAGGTGAACCGTTAACATGACATCATGTTTACGTAGGTTCTAACTAGGATGTTAACGTTTATGTTAGCAAGTCTGTTTATACCTCTAGGCTTATTGAAGTAATAAGAAATTGAAAATACAGGAAAGGAAAAGGGTTAGTAATCAGACGTACATGTAAATCCAAGTATTCAAATTACTTATGTGAACAAGTAACATTAACTTCATCATTCATTGATATCAGTAATACTGCAAGGGAATTCATTGTACCTCTTAATTGAAAACAAGATAAGGAGTTGTAAAACCACTAAACAGTTTTAAAAAACCTATTAGAATTTTTTAGGCTATTTTTAAAATCCTGTTAATATAGAATGGCAAACTTGATTGTCAAACAACTGTGCAACTAAATGAAGATAAATATCAATTAACTTCAGATCAGTTTTTAAATTTAAGACATTTCTTTAGCCAAAAAGAAAAATTCCAAGAAACCTGTGCAGATTCAGGCTAGGGTTACTTCTAGCATCAAAAACTCAGAGATTTTGCCTCTTTCCTCTTTCAGCTGAGCATCTGCAGACTCTTTAGTACAGCTTAACAGTTCTTAACTTTAAGACTGGCTAGCCTAGACATAGACAGTATTTTATTTTGTAAGTTGCTACTTGAAATAAAGATGAGGTATATTTTTGAAAAGCCTAGGACAGGCAATGGCATTGTCTATTTTAGACACCGCATTTCAGAACAAGTCGTTGTTAGGTTTGGCCAGGTTTTTTAGAAGTAACTTCATTTTAGTCTACCAAATCATATGTAGTCAGTTTAAGTGGCTTAATTTAAGTGAGACCTGACTGCTCAGCATTGGAAAACTTAAGTCACATGCTCTGTTTCAGCAGCGCACTTGAGCTTAACATAACTCCCAACTCCACTAATACCACGTGTGTTCAGAGAAACACTTGCTGAATTATAATCTGATATATGCTTAACTCTGGATTTAGAAACCTAATTTTATGTTTTTATTTTCAGAATCTTAGGGTTTTTTTAGTCTAAACTGCTCAGTGCCTTCATAAGAAATGTCTTTATCAGTCAGATGACAAAATCTGCAAGTCAGTTACATAATTTATGTTACCCAAGTCAATTTAATATATGCTGTTGTGAAATAATAGAGAATCTCAGCTAGAGTTGAAAGTGGCTAACAAAATAAATGGTTAAAATACTAATTTCCTTAAAAATTACACACTTTGAGTGTGATGTAGAGTCACCTATTTCTGACCATTAAAAATGGAAGTGTGTGAACAGATGCAGACTTGAGGTGGTGACTGGCCAAGATAGGAAGGCAGGCAGTCCTTTGCCATGTGTTCTGTAAAGGAGGAAAGCTCTAGGTTTCAGTCTGACTCCTGCGTTTTCCAGTCTAGGAGGGCTTAGTTGGTTTCTTGGTCTTAACTATGTAAACAAATAAGTACATAGTATTCTAGGTTGCAAAGCAGCCAAATATGAATGATATGGGATCCCCTGTATCATTTAAGTATTTACCATGTTATAGTATTTTATGTTAGCATCCATGGCAGCATACTAAGTAATAGTCTTTGGCGTGCATTATCAATATGGGTTTACTAAACTCAAGGAGGCTGCCACTTGATTTCATGGGCAGACCCTGGGGCCAGTCACTATTTTCATGGGCTGTGTGGGGCAGGGTCCCCCCTACACCTCTGGTCAAGGGGTCCTGGCACTTCTGCCCCTCTTCGCAGATTGCCAGATGGCCCAAAACATCAGTTTAAGTACTCTGATTAAGCCTGAGGAACCAATTAATCCACACATTATTAAGCATGGATTAATGCCTTCCTCAGGCTTAAATCAGGGTAATTAAGCCAGTTTTAGGCTGTTGCCAAGCGAGCAGGCTGCACAAGCAGCTGCAGAAGAGTCCCAGGCTGGCTGCGGCAGGCAGCAGGGAGGCTGCACTGCGGTCTACAGAGCTCTGGCCTGGCTTGTTGTCAGCGGCAGACACCCCCCCC